ATATTATGTCTATGAGACCATTGTCTAGACATACTATCACCTGTTATCCTGGGATGGAAAGCTTTGATCTTGATGGATATTAGAACTATCAAGGAACTCTCATCTTGAACATCTAATTCTTTCAGGTGGTCTCCTTTTATTAATATAATTTTCTCGCCGTCAGCTTTATAAACTTCATTTTCATTTTCTTTCTGTTCATGATGGCATTGAAGGAATTTCACATTTCAATACATCTTCATTAGTACTGTATATCTGATACTTACTTTAATCCTCTACCACAAAGATTGGCGACGATGCAGACAATTGCATTCTATTCAGGGTCAATTTATTTTGTTATTACTGGTTAGTTACTTGATTTTTTTGTTATCCTATTTTGACCTCTGTTGCTTTTTAAAAATAAGGATGTTAACAAATATTATATAAAATATAAAAATAGGTTTTGAGACTTCTAACTAGGTAAGTGCGCAAGATTGTATTGCACCATACAAAGTTTTTGTGAATTAAATTTTTATATTAAAATATTCCTTTTTCCCCCCATCCAAGAACTCTGAGTGCATCTTCCATTTTTTTCTTCTATGGTTGCCCATACCGATAAACAGACTACGTTCAAATAATCTACACAGCTTCATTTGTTTTCCTTTGAATGCATTTCCTACTAAATAAACTTAAAATCGCAGGCAAGGTTTCATTATTATGTTTGTGTACATGGGCAGATTTTCTAAATTCCCTCTGGCCTGATTTTCAAGTGTTCGACATCCAAATTTAGAGACATGTTTTGAAAGGAGTCTCATCTCAGTTCAAGGTCAGATTTAATAGGAAGGCTTGGAGCGCATTTCTTTTGTGTCATCTCTGCCCATGTTGTTAGAAATGCTTTGTGCGTTCTGGAGTGCTTTTGAATTCCAGTCCCAGTTGCAGAGGAAAATCTGTGAATATAATTATCAGGGAGTGTTAATACTTAGACCCACTCAAAAAAGACAGAGAGAGAGAGAGAGAGAGACAATTATGCCATTACACACATATTATGTACGTATACACAGTCCCTTAGATATTTTTTGTTAATAGATAGTTTTTAATGAGAAATGCTCTGAATGTTAATGATAACTATTTCAACATTATTTGCCCTTAAAGATCTTCTCTTTGGGAAGATCTGATGCATTAAAATAACTGTGTAGCCCTGTGTGGCAGTGATGGTGAAACTATAGAAATATTTTTGTTTATCGAATTAATGAAATGAGAAAAACACTTCCCCCAATTCACCAAACCCCTCATGTATAAGAATGCTTCTGAGTAAAACACTCAAAACAAGGGTACATAGAAACATTTGACGTTAGACAGAGTAAACACTGCAACTAAAAAAATTATCACCACCACAATCACTCTTTCAACTTTGGACAAGAAATGGTGCTATGGAAATTCTAGGCCCATCAACACTCCAGTGATTTTGGACATTTTTAATATGCAGGTACTGTTTTTGGAGAAAGTGGGAATATGTCATAGGTGGATGTTTTCATTGTGCTTGCATTTGAGGATGACTGTTTGCTTTCTGCCATGCTTCCATGCTTTGATCTTCTACATTTTACTGCATACCTGCCACTTTTCCTCTTCTTCCTGTTATGCCTCTTCACTGAATTGTCTTTCTCTTAGAATTCCAATGCATTCTTTGTTGATTAATCGTGGGAAAAGAGCTCTTTGTACATCCCCACTCAATCTTTCCACTAATATTATGTGTCTTGGATTACTCTTGTCTTGAAAAAAAGTCTTTATCATTATAGCTGCTTATCAAAGTATTTCAGAAGATAAACTATTTGATTTCATCATAGTCTTTACAGTCAAGAAATATACCCGCTAATGATGTGCCATATTTCTCTAATTCCACCTGACAATGTACACATCCTAATGGTAGATCTTCACTATGCATCATAGTAAATGTTTAAATATCACTTAGCACATTCAATGCATTTTGAATTGAGATAGAATTTTTATCATTTTTTTACATATAGGGATTACATTTTCTGGGTGGGATCACTGAAACAGTTTCATAACAGTTTTCACTTCTCAGTAAAAGATTTTCTGGAGCTTTAAGTGAATTCTTAAACATTATCATGAAAATCCTATTGTTTTAAAGTCTCAACATTTTTCCAAGGATTTAAAATTTTTCTGTTGCCTCATTGTTAATTGACTGTGGTAAGAAATCCAGCTTATTTTCTACAAGTAATACTGAGTATTTTCCATTTCTCTTTTAGCTTACACTAACTATATTTTTCCTTTGTGTATTTGTGAGAGATATATTACAGCAGAAGGAATGATAGAGCTCAAAATAATTCTCCTATCAGAGGTATGAAAACAACCTCTGTCAATGGAAGAATAATGATTATGGCTGTAATCTAATGAAAACAAGCCTTAGTGAACACGTAGCACTATGATTTTTTAAAAACTGAAACATATCCCAGGAACACTTATTTAAAAACCTTTAATAAGAAGCTTTGGGTTGATCAATGTTAAGTGAAATTATGATTATTTGAAAGAAAGTGCTGGCAATTATGCTGGCAAGATTTTAAGGAAATTATGAATAGGAAAATGGATTAATAGATATGGCTGTATGCATTCTTGAGAAATTGTAAGTGTCTCTTATCCAGTTTTTATTAAACTATTTTTTGTTTGCTCAATGTCTTTGGAGATTCTCAGTCATCTAAGTCATAGTTGTCCTATTTATTTGGATTATTTATTTGTTCATTTATTTCCTTTAACTACTTCCAAATCATTGAACTATTGGAGATTTACAATCATAACCAAAACTACATCAAAGTTTAAAAATCATGATACAAGTTCCTAATAAAATATTAATGTACATAATTTTAAATATTGTGCTACTGGGCAATATCAACTCTCTGGAGCTCTTTGGAATAACTTTTATTTATCAGCTTTTCAAGGGTAACCACATTAGATTTAGTCTAGTCTGTCTCCAAAGGGATTATTCTGTAAAATAGCGTCACCTGAAGAAAATATAGTCCTTGTTAACAACCATAACTGGGAATGGGGACTTAATCATTAAGCAAAGTGGTCGCTAAATAAAAGTCTGTATGTGGACTTATGGACAGTGGAAGCAGTAAATGCAAGGTTTGATTGTAAAGTTACCACCATAATTGCAAAAGGTCACTTGACAAGGCAATTCCTAAATGAAGTTAACCTCTACCACTTCTAAGCCCCCATATACCTCATTTTTTGTAAGTCAGAAACCCTTAACATATTGAATGAAACAAATAAACTATATGGGCTATTTCTATATCAGGAATCAGTTCTACAAATACCTAGGAAACTACCACATAGGGCAGGGGTCTCCAACTTTGGCCACTTTAAGCCTGGAGCACTTCAACTCCCAGAATGCCTCAGCCAGCTTTGCTTAAAGTGGCCAGGGTTGGAGACCCCTGACATAGGGTACTTTGGGTTGGACCTGGAAACCTATTGGAAGCCAGCGAGGTGCTTCCAGTGTGGGTGACACATGACTGAAGTGCTCTCATATGCTAGCATACAGGAAGCTTCCTTTTTATCAATTGCAATCTCTGAAGGATATTCAGAGATAAGCCAGTGTAGAACAGGTTTTGAACGTGGCAGAAGAAGTATTCATGAAAAGAAATAATTGCATATCCTAAGTCCACCAAATTGTTTTTAAAGAATATCAGTGAGGTCTTTGATGCAAAACAGTTACATGAATTTCTTGGTCTGAAAAGTTTCTCTAATTATGACCATTGATGCATTGATGCATGTTTGGGAAAGTTGATGCAATCATGCAGATGGGTTTTTTCTACCTGAGCACTATGGTTCCAATACAATCAAGGTACAAATGGGCATCCATAGGGAGAAAAAGGTGTTCTACATGATGCAAAATGTATGTATGTCACTCTGCTTATTATATATTTTTATAGAGCATTGTTAGAGGGCAAAGAACATGCATTTCATCATTTTAGTGTGATCAGAGAAATATTTCCTTATGTCTAGAAAGTCAGGTTTTTTTGTATTGGAAATAGCAATACATTTCAATTGCCATGCTCAATACACTCCAAACATAGTCAACAATGCTTATTGTGGATCTGAGAGAAAAAAAACGAAAGAAACTAAGTAACGGTATCAACTAAGCCTATTTTGAAGAATGAGAAAAATGTGCAAAGTTAATAATCATTTTCAGAACTGAACTATTTTGAATATTGCAACCTCTTTTGCTTTTTTTGCTGCTTTTGATACTTTCAAAGAAATGTATGATTGTCATAATATGTTTGTATGTCCCTCAGTTTGAAGCAGCCTATAAGTAACCTAAATAAAATAAAAGTAACAGTATAGTATTCGAATTCAACAACACACTGTATGTAGTCATATTTTTAAAATTAAAATCTAACTAATATGGGGAAAAAAATCACTTTAAAGATAATTTCAAAACAATTTTGGATGGAGAAAAATATGGATGGAATAGCTGTTTAAAAAAACCTAGTAATTTGTTCTGAAGAGTGAAAAGCTAATTAATATTCCAATTAATAACCCCACCCCAAAGGCTGGAGTTTCCTTGAAGGTTAATTATTGTATTGTATTTGAAGTTAAGGAGTTGGTGGTGGTTGTTTTTGGTTTTTGGATAAGGTTTATAGGGATTACTTTGAAGCTGGTCTAATGAAATCTAATTACCAAACAATAATGCTACTTTATTAATATGCTTTTATATAGATCATTAGCAGCCCAATGTGAAAATAAAATGACCTTGTTCTTCCCAACAGTACATTCCTAACTTGCACTAAAGAAGAAACTTATTTTGTTGGAATAATTTTGTCATTATGGTTGGGGATGTTTTATGTTTGACTAAATTTGCAATTGGAATTTCAAGCAAAAGTTTTTGAATAGAGTCTCAAAATCATTGCATTGTCATCTTATTAGAAAGCTAAAACTCTTACGCTTTTTAAAAAAGTGGGTTTGGTGTTTAAAATTGTTCTTTCTTTTTCTCTCTCTTTTCTATACAGGGTCAACCTGGTCCTCAAGTAAGTATCTTCTTGTGTTATTATTGTTAGTGGAAGAAAGTGGGAAACGAAATAATGCATTGTGGAAAACTCTAGCATTTCAAACTCTTTTTGAAAGATCCCATATCACAATTTTCTTCCCCCAACAGGTACAGCAGTATGTGCATACATTGGATTGCACTGGAATTCCACCTTCCCAAATATTTTCCCTATACTTATAGAATTGTAGGATTACCTACAGTTGCTTTTGTCTTTCTATTGTTTCCCATCATAAAATCCAAGTAGGATAATTATTACAAAACCATGAGCAGACAAAGTAAGGTTATCTTGGTCAACGTGGGCTACATTTAGATTGCTGTTAACTGGCCCAATAATAATATGACACAGTAAGCCATATTTATTTTCCAGGAGGAACAAATGGGCCACCATATGTTTTGGAATCTATCAGCTGCTTGATGAGATAATACTTTTAAGAATGTATTGCTAAATGACAAATAGCTCTGAATTATGCTCTAAAACGGGGGTGCCAAACTTGGCAACTGTAAGACTTGTGGACTTCAACTCCCAGAATTCTCCACCTAGCTGGCTTAAAGTTGCCAAGTTTGGGGACCTCTGGTCTAAAACAATGTCATCTAACTTTGAACTAAGATGAAGTATTTTATAAATGTATTACTGGAGCTAGTTTTCATTAACTGCTTATTAATCACATGTTAATGATGCTGTCATAAACCAGGAAACATTTAGTTATTTAAGATAAAATCGGCCACTTTGATTAATTATTTGAAAGCATGATTGCAATCTCTGTTTATTTAAGAATAACACAAGATTAGATCTTAATTAAATAAATGTGATCTCATCTGAAAGGGAACATATTTGAGGACATTCAAAAAAGATGTTGAGAAATAATTATATAGAATTTGCAAAGCTTTTACTAGAAAAACAGAAGAACAGGGGAAGAAGTTATCAAACCATACTGTTAAAAAATTACTCATAAAAGTAGGGGTGGGATTCTATTGGTTCTGTCCGGTTCTATAGAACTGGTTGTTATAATTCTGTGCAGTTTAGAGAACCGGCAAGTCACACCACTGGCTGGCCCCGCCCCTCTCCGCCTGCCCCTCCCCTACCAGTCAGTCCTTGTTGTGCATGTGTGGCATTGCCTGCAGCCTGCTTTTGCCCACCCACCAGGCCAGCTATTGCTGCCTGTCTGCCGCTGTGGCCCTGCCTGATCTCCCTGGGTGAGTGAGGCTCTGCAAGCTCCAGGGCCCAGTTGCCTACTTTCCACTGCCAGTCACCTTCCCCCTCTCTCAGTTGCCTTTTGCCGCCACTGTCCGCCGCCCAAACCTGGGTGACCACTTTGCCACTTGGGTGGCCCTTTTGCCTGCCATCCCTTCCGTCTCCCACCCGCAGCCCCTTTGTTGGACCTGGAACAATCACCCTGGTTGCACCCGTGTCGGTGACAGGAATGTCATTTCGAAGTTGAGGGAGAAGTTCGGAAAGTAGGTGGAGTGTCCTGCAGTGGCTAGCACAGGACCGCCACTGAGAAGTGGGGAAGTGGCCTTCTAGTGGTCTGACCTGGCATTCAGGCCGACAGGCCACAGGAAGTCAGAGCACTGAGGGAAACGGACTGTGGAGGGGGGAGGTCTACCTGAATGACTCCTTCAGTGTCTTCACTGGATTATTTGGACACTTACAAGCGAGCGCAGCTAAAGGCGCTGCTGTCGCATGTCAGCCCAGGCCTCACCCTGTGGCTCTGTAAAGCCAACACCAAAGAAGTGTGTGTTCAAGTAAATCCATGGGTGGATGCCGTGGTGCAATGCTCGCTTGGATCTTGGCCACTCCAGGCCATCCGACCTCAAAGCCCTTCGGACCAGCTGAGCCGGGAGCTGCCGTTCCCAGGCTTCTACTCGCCCGTGCTTGGTCATTGCCTCTTCACCTTGCCTGAAGTAGCTGGTCCTGTCCCTCACTCTCCGCTCTCTCACCTGGCCTGAGAAGATAAGGGTGACACCAAGGGATAGCGAAGTGGATGGGTCCCTATCTTCCCCTCTCTCCCCACTCTCTCTGTGTCTGTCTGTCTGTCTGTCTGTCTGTCTGTCTGTCTGTATCTCTCTCCCCCCCCCCCCCTCTCTCTCTCTCTCAAAGCCATGGCTGGGCCAAGCCAGCAAGCTCTCCTTAGTGCTCTTCGCTGCTTCTTTCATTTCTTCTTTTTGGAATCCAGACTGGCTGAACAACGATCGCCAGCCATGGTGGAAGCATCCCTTCAGGTGACCTTCTTCCTCCCACTCCTCCTCTTCTTGTGACCGGCAACTGTGGTTGGGCTGGGAGGGTGCACATGCGTGGAGAGATGTGCCTCAAGCAAGTGCCAAAGCACAGCAAAAACAGGCATGGAGCGGGCAGCTGCTCACTTGAGGAGGGTCCCCCCGTGCGTGTGTATCCTCCTGGCCCCACCACAGCTGCCGGTCATGAGAGGAGGAGGAGGATTGCCTAAAGGGATGCTTCCACCACAGCTGTGATCATTGTTCAGCCAGTCTGGATTCCAAAAAGAAGAAATGAAAGAAGTAGTGAAGAGTGCCAACGAGAGCTTGCTAGCTTGGCCCAGTCAGCTTTGAGAGAGAGACACACACACAGAGATAGAGACAGAGACAGAGAGACAGAGAGAGGGGGAGAGAGAGGAGAAGATAGGGAGAGGGGCAGAGAGAGAGAGAGAGAGAGAAATAGAGAGAGGGTGGGGAGAGAGCCATAGGAAGACATGTGGGGGGGGGAGGGAAAGAGAGAGAAAAAGAGAGGGAAAGAGAGAAAAAGAGGGAATGAAAGAAAGAGAGAGAGAGAGAGAGAGAGAGAGAGAGACAAGAAAGAAAAGAAAGAGAAAGAAAGAAGGAAGGAAGGAAGGAAGGAAGGAAGGAAGGAAGGAAGGAAAGAAAGAAAGAAAGAAAGAAAGAAAGAAAGAAAGAAAGAAAGAA